TTATGTTTTTATTTACCTTATTGTCTTTCCTTTTTTTTATTGAACATCATGCATGTATATGTGTTTCTCCAATGTTAAATTTTTTTTCTACTTTTCTAGCCTTTGCCCCCGTAAGCAAATATTTACTATTTTGTCCATCCCGCTAAATGTAACCTTTGCATATTTGTAGAATTGCCGCATTTTCATCTAAAATTTTATTTTTTATTGTAAAGCAATATTGTCTAATAACATCAAGTCAAAAGGTGGCTTATACATCTTTAGCCAAATATTAAAAGATCGATGGCATCTCTCCATGAATACTTGGACTTTGCTCATTTGAGTGAAGATTGCAAACTTGATCTAATTAACCATGTGAGTCAACTAAGCTTGCAGTCTTCTCTCCTTCCCAAGCGCAATTTGACTATGGCTGACAAGAATTTACCAACAGCTGTGTTTGCGACAACGGTCACCGCTCAACAAAAAGTCGTTCCCGAACTCAACAAGACAACCAAACAGCGCTTCCTTTATCAAAAAAAGCACAAGGAGGAGACGGTCGATACTTGCTTTAAGACTCTCAAAAACAACACTTACTTTAAAAAGTACACGGCTTCCTATTTAGGACAGCCGAATAGCGTAGACCCGTTTAGGGAGGAGCGATCTCGAGAGGAATTAAGCGGTCAGGACAAGGATTTTGTGCATCGCTATGCGGAATCGATGACGCACTCCAAAATTGAACGTAATCGCGATACGGACGATGCAACCGTCTCTGCTGCCGATGCATATCGAGAGGCCTTTCGTCGTTTGACACATCGGGAACCAACCGACAAGGAAATGGAAGAAATCGGCCGCTTAAATTTCGGGTTGGACGAACACGGAAAGGTTGGCGTGGTGCAGAAACCCCACACTTGCTATGACCACTCTCACATCACATGCTGCAACCGCCGTGTGGAGAAGTGTAGCAAGCAAATTTACGCACCTGAAAAGCCGGTTTTGCGTGCGGCGCGTGAGCGCTTTCCTGGGCCTGTTCCAATATGGTCCTCTACGAAGAACTCATACACTATGGTAGCAGGTGACACGGATCAGCCCGGTCATTATAAACCCCATTGTAGTTCGCAGAAGTCTGAATTAAACACAATAGTTGGTTCAAAATAGAGGTCTATGATGGATTTAAATGAGCTTTCACGACCAATTCTAGTAGCCATAATTTTATGACATCTTACGCAACTATTTCCTATAAAAACAAAGAGGTAAGTGTTACTTATTTTTTTTTAGAAAAAGCTGTATTGTCTTGGTGTTTAATCACGCAACTTTTTTCTTTGTATTAGGGATGTATAGTTTTTTTTTATACTTTCTTCTGTATGCATGTTTTTCCCACTTTTCTAATGAAATGTAAAATGATTGTCTGATAGGCTTTCTTATTCCTCCCCTCCACCCGATGGCCATGATACGTTAGAATGAGTTCTTACTAGTGTTGAATAATTCTTTGATTTCTTGTTTCCAATTCCTTTTTCAAAGGGAAAACAAAATTATTTCAATTAACACAGGAAAAATACAGAAATCTAGGTTACATACCTAGAAAGTAACGCCGTTGCCAAAACAAAAGTGGATACGATAATTCACATGGAAAGAACGGCTGATGGTCGAATTCGGACGACAGAGTGGGAGGAGATTCAGTACAAATATGGTAATAAGGTTGGCAAGTACCAAACTCATGAACTAGAAATTCTAACTCAGAAAATTGCCGACAAACATGACGATACCTGCTTACGATCATACAACCCACAGGAAGAGAAGCTTGCAGACAAACTAAATCAACGATGCGCTGAAGGTGAAGGTCAAGATGCCGAGATTCCTAATATCAACAGCTCCGATGATGAAGATGAGGTTTTGGCTGAGATTCGCCAACGACGCATGGCAGAGCTCAAGAGACAGCTTCAGACCGAATGCTTTGGTACCTTGCGTCATATATCAGGTGCGAACTATGTAAAGGAAATTACAGAATCATCTGAGAAGAATTGTGTGGTGGCGGCACTCATTAAACCTGGTCACAGCGATTGTGAATCATTGCTTAACGTACTTCGCACCGTGGCCCAAAGGAATCGGGACTCTAAGTTTGTTTCTATGATTTCCACTGAGGCTATTCCTAACTTTCCAGACAAGCACCTTCCTTGTGTTCTATTATATGCGAATAAAAGTGTAAAAACCCAAATCACTGGATTAGAGACCTGGAAGCACAAAGGCCAGCTTAGCGTGCATACAGTCGAACGCGTTTTGAAAGAGCAAGGGTTTTTGAACCGTGAAGACCTTGAACAATATGATGCTTAAACCATTTTTGTAACGATAAAGTACAGTTTTACTTCTTTAGTTAATTACATATATCTGAACCTTTTTAAAATTTGCTTTGCTTATTGCCAAATTTTCATCCTTTTCTTAACAGTAGTTTTAGATTTAGATTCACGATTCTTTTCCTTTGTTCCATATGTCTCTTCTTGATAAGCTTTGCTCTGATGTATGCCGAATAGTTAATGAAGACCACGTTTCTTTTTTCTTTCTTTTGACTGGTCAAAGGGGTTGTGGCAAGTCTTTTGTTCTCCGATCGCTTTTCACAAACCTTATTAATGCATGCGCGGCTTCTGAAGTGACGACATTGTCAGATATTTTAGTCTCCAGTAACTCTGTTTCTCCTGAAGATAATAGGTTTCGTGTATGCAAGATTGATTATAATAGTCTCCTCTTATGGTCAAGACAGTTTAAGGCGGATTCGGACATGAAATTTTTCTCTTTCCCACATTTGACAGTGCTGATAGTCGATGATGTGCATGCGCTATGTGAGCTGTGTTTGCTAAATGAAGCGTCGCACTTTATGGAAAAGCTTCTTCTCCGTGTATTGCACTGTCCTGGCTGCGCGCTGGTGGCCTCTGCGCTGAGCGAGAGTGGTGTACCCCCGTACCTTTTGCAATGCCGCCGTCCAATACTCTACCCAATTTCTTCTAATTTCCATTCCCCTGGGGGATTTTTTCCTTTCGTAGATAACGAAGGGTCGGATAGGCCCTTTCGTCAGACTCTCATCTCTTTAGGGATGGCAAAGCTCGCGCTCCAGAAGTACAAGGACGGGGCTTCCGTTACAGCTGACGAACGGTCTGTGATGATGCAGCAGAAGTTCAAATGGTTGAGTGGTTCATTAGAGAATCTGACTGCAGTTCAGGTTGAAACCTTATATGGACTCAGTCATATCCAAGAGCGTTTATCCATTATGATTTCTTCTCTCGCCTTTTTTAAAGAGCCTGGAAGTTGCGGAAGGCTTCTTGGGTCTCTTCCAACGACTACGGGCATTCTGTTGTTTGGACCTTCTGGTTGTGGTAAGAGCGCACTGGTGCGCCGCATAGCCGGTGCTTTTCCCTCCATGGTTTTCCATTTTGTCGAGTGCACGAAGCTGTTTTCAAAGTTTCTGGGCGAGAGTGAAGAGAAACTTCGTGAGGTATACCGAAAAGCGCGCCTGCGGACACCCTCGGTGGTGGTACTTGATAACATGGATATTATTGCACAGTCTCGCGGAGCTATGCAAGGCTCCGATACTTCTGGAGGTGGGAACGGTGTGGATGTTAATCGCCGCATGTTGGCCTGTCTGCTCTGCGAGCTCGATGGCGTGACGAGCAACTCTGGTGTGTTAACTATCGGCATCACCAACGCTCCACATGTCATCGATAAGGCATTGCTGCGGCGAGGGAGGCTAGAGTCAGTTATTATGGTGCCACCGCTTACCCTGCAGGCGGCTCAGGATATTTGCCGGTGCTTTTTTGAGAACTTTAAGGCAGACCCTGCTGAGCGCAATGATTGCATCGAAGTGATTGCTAAAGCTTCGGAAGGTTGTTCACCTGTCTCCCTGCGCTTTGTCCTGCGAAAAATCCTTGAAACGTTGCTTCCCCAGATTTCTGAATCAGGAAATCATTTAGTTTTTCCCACACAGATGACTTTGAGGCACACTTTGTTTGAAAACGCTTCTCTATTGGCACCTATTGACTATCCATTTAGTCAATTCTGACGAGCTTAGTTTATTATTACCACCAATCGTATCTTTTTTATACTCGAAGACACCTATTGTTTTGTCAATCTACTGCTCTAACACTATACATTAACATAATATTGATATTTTAACTTGCTTTTGAATCACTTCCTTGTGAAGCGAAACAATGCGTATCTTTCTGCTCAGATCCGTGCTAATATGACTCTTTTTCCCCCACTCTTAGAATATATCTAATATTCAAGTGAATAGATACTAGTGATTATTATTTTATTTCTCATCTATCGGGTCAATATTCTTATCGTCACTTACAGTTCAACACATTTATTATCAAACTTCTTTCTTTGTGCAAATCGGTAAGTTTGAGCCTTTAAGAACGTGTGTGTTGGTCAAAGTGTCTTCAACTTGATCTTTGATATATCGAGCGGTTATACCCTTTTAGTGAGTGTATTATGTTGTTTGCGCATCTTTTATAACTAGTATCTTTTCTTTAAAAACGAAATGGACTACCGTTCTCCACTTGAGCTCCGCCAACAGCTGATGGAGGAAGCTAAATCTGCGGCAGCTCAATCCACGCCAGCCAAAAAAACAAAGCTAAAGGTAAGTGGCCTTGATGCGGCCTTTGGCACCCATCTAGCGGGAAATATTGGCAGCTCAGCAACTGTCTCACACTCAGCTTTTACTCCATTAATTGCACTTCCTGATGACCCTACTGCTCTGGTGCGTGAAGTACCCGAGGCTGAGAATATCAAAGCTATGAATGCCGCATTAGAGCATGAAGAAGCAGTTCAACGTTATGTAGAGAGCGAGAATCTTTCCCTAGAGGAGTCTGCTAAGTATATCATGGCCAATGGTAGTACTGCTCAGAAAATGTCCTTTGTGTTGCATATTCGAAAAAGCCTTGTAGGATATTCGCTGAAACAAATATCTAGGATTCTTGGGATTCTTGTAGATTCCATGTGGACTCAAGATCCGGAGCTTCAATGCCGCGTGCCCGAAGCACTTCAGAATCTTGCGGGTTTCCTGACTAGCTCCATTGCCGATGATCTCTACGATGTGATTGAAACCATGTTGACCGTCAAAACGCCATCGATTCGGATTGCTTGGGGAAAGCTCCTTCTCGCGCTTATCAGTTATTTGAGTAATGAGCAAATAGAAAAGTGTCTAATTCCGCTGTCGCTTGCTAAAAGTCAGCATGTCGAGCCACAGGACCAACGTGAGCTCAGCTGCGATCTTCTGGGAAACGTTTGTGCGTATGTACACCGGGATACCGTTGACAAGATGATATTGCCCCGTGCGATGGCTCTGTGCCAGGACACCAATGTTGCAGTGCGTGAGCGGATGTGTCAGCACCTTAGAACAATCGCCCACTCCTTGGGGATTGACGCGGCGAAGCAAAAGGTGGCACCCATTTTAATTGAATTGTTGAATGATGAGGAGCGCGCGGTGTCAGGAGCGGCCTTCTCCCGCTTATTAGACTTGATCGATTTTTTCGGTCCAGAGTATTGCAAAATTCATCTCTATCCCATATTTATGACCTATGTGTCTAACCCCCCTAGTGATGTGACTAGCCTTTTGGTGGTCGAATATGGCCGTTTTCTTGACAAGATTAAATCTAACATTTCTATGCAGGACGAATTCCTCCTGTTTGCGTCTTTTTACCAAAAGGCGGTTGAAAAGAATGACAAGACGACAAGACGCAGTTGCGCATACAACTTCCCCGCGGTCGCAGCGTCGTTACCCTTGTCTGTCTTCTCTTTACACTTGTCCCCGTGCTTAAATAAGCTTGCGAATGATCCTGAACCTGAAGTACGTCGAAGCACGGCCGCTGGGCTTCATGAATTAGTGAAAATCTTAGGTAACACAGCTGCCATGCACTTACAGGAACCTTTTCTTAGTTTGCTAGGTGACAAGGATGGGCAAGTAAGATTCTTTATCTTTAAACATGTTGATTTGCTTCTCGATTCTTTCATAATTCAGTTGACTGGTACACAGCGCGATAATTTTTTCCAGTCCGTGGCTGAGATCCTTCTTGAATTAGCACCGACAGGTCATACGAACTGGCATATAATGGATCACATTGTCACCATAGTGAGCAGATATGCACAGTATTTCAGCTCTCCCGTTATTATTGATGATTTTATTCCATTAATGCTTTACTATGAAAAAGTTGGAGCCAACGTATTGAAGAACAAATGTGCTAAGTTAGTTATGCTATTCCTTTCTCAAGTTTCAATCCCCCACGCTCAGGTACAGCTGTTTAATAAACTCGTCAGCGAATTTGCACGTAGTCCTTGTTGCTACCATCGCCAGTCGTATTTCCGCTTTGTACGGGAGGCAACGTTTTTCTTCTCACGAAGGTGCATTCGCGAGCGTCTAATGGAATCCAGTTTAGAGCTACAACGTGATTCCATTGCAGAGGTAAGGAAGGCGCTGGCAAGTTCTTTGGTATATTTAGCGAAAGGTCTTCGTTCTAGCTGTCCGGGCGCTTTAGAGGAGGAATACAAAAATATGATTCAGCGACTTTTAATGGATGAAAACCAAGAAGTTCAAGCAGAGGCTCGCAGAAGTACAGATCTTCTGAAGGCGATGGAAATCGAGCGACGGAGCAACCCCAAAAAAGCCACTGATGAGGAGCAGCTTGATCTGAAGAGGGAAAAGGCCGAACAAGCCATGCTAGATCTAGCAAAGGAGTTCGATAAGGCGGAACGGCGTGCAAAACTGCGTGAGCTTCTGAAGAACGGCCGTGACAAGGAGTTCTTGGATGTGGGAGTAGCTGTTAACCCTCGTAAAGGGGCGAACGGACGCACTTGTGGTACCCCCAAGCGTCGGCGTTCTTTGCATAACATTGTTGGAGGGTATAATATAAAAAATACCGGGTCCTCTAGTCATACCAATGTAGAACTACCTCGCTTATTAAATGTAAAGTCAACAGCATCGCCTTCTCCTACCTACTTAAGGCGGAAACGCTAATAAGCTCGTATTTAATTCAACAATGACCAAACACGTAAAGTGTATACGTATCAATCTGTATTTACTTATACGGATAGACTTAGCTTCACGTGCGTTGTTCCGCTGGTGTAGTCTCAATCCTAATAATGTAGTTTCGGGATCTGCATGTCGGGATACACTGATGTACACTCCAACTAAATATATGTTAGGGCTATTCAATTATAACTTTATTATTCTTTCTCACTATGTATGCAACTATCTTATCTTTGTACATGTTCTTATTTTTTTTATTGGGTGCTGTTTAAATGAAATAAAATATGTTGAGGTATCAATAGTATCTGATTACTTAATGCTTCATTTGGCGTTAGTAATAATTTGTGGTATAATTTGTGTATACACCCTTTTTTTGGAGTTATATGTTTCAAAAATACTATATAGTACGGGTTGTATTAGTGTAGCATATGTTAATGTAACTGAGTGATTGGCATCTGTTCCAAGGCCATCTAATTTAAACGGTGTGGGAGGTTAATTAAGTAGATTTACCTCATTATGGCTGCAACTTCATTTTTGGGGCGCGCACAAGGTAAGTACTTTATACAATTCACTTGTCTTTTTTTTTTTGCTTCACTAAAAATTTTGAGCTCTTTTTTTTCGAAGTTCACTGTTCATTTTAAGCACAAGGCAGAGCTGTAAGTCAATTCAGGTGATATTACTTCCAAGCGACATAATAAATCGATGAATAAAATTACTCAATTAAAACCAACAAAATGAGAAACAACGTTGGTGGAGTACGTTCTAGAAATGGACAGTAATAGTTTTCCTGGAGTGTCTATGGCGAACTGTTTGCCTTTTGCCCGCGTTCCCTAGATAACTGAAGATAAAATCTTATGCTTAGCTTTTTTTTTGTATATCTTCACAAAATATATCACAAACCTACACAGATGGCCCAATTTATCTTCCATTCTTTTGTAGAGGGCTAACAATAAAATCAGAATGGGATGAATGTAATGACATATAAAGCACACATTGTGCATATCTATAATAATTTCTTTGTTTTAAACAGGAGGAGGGATAAATTAAGGCCCCTTATGTATCACTCTTGTTTTTTCCACTAAACATTTTCAGCTCTACACGTGTGAATATTTTTTTTCTACTATACCCTTGCTTAATATGTTGGAAACTTTGTACCAATATATAGACTTGATAGGGTGAAATTTATTATATTTCTCTGTACGCAAGCCTTTATAAAATGTTTGTCTTTTTTATGTCTTGAGTGATCATGTTTTACTTTATAAATTTGTGTCTTATTTGATAGCTGCTGGCTTACGCTGCACAAGAACCTAAGGAAATATTTTAAATGGATAAATCACCAGGAGAATTGGCTTCCTCAGTTACGCAGAATTCCTTAACTAGAGAAAAACGACCTCGTAACGTGACCGAATCGTTTATCTGTGGAGCTCCACTGAGTTCTCGTCATGATGGGGAGGAGGTTCCGATGACAAGGACTGCGAATGTTTATACTGAGGAAGCATCCACTAATAGTTCTCCTCTCGATATGCCGGTCTATTTCACCGATTCTCACTTTCCAAGAGATCCCCCTAAATTGTACAGGAGCAACTCTATTACTTCATTAAATGCTCGGGCGACATGCATACGAAAGGCGCCTGTCAAGACGCCTGTAAGTAACAAATCTCCCGGTACTCATCCTCTTGGCCATTTTCCGTCGACTGCGTCAATGACGAGTCTGCCTTCATTAGACGGGTCCACACTTAATAACGGCAGCCCCAAGCCAGCGTCCCGGCGCCAGAAATGGGCTACCCTCCTTGTTTCTACCTTTATGCAGTCGGAGGAGGGGTATGAAGAGGAAAGGGTAAAAGATATTTGTACACACATTGCCACTGCTATACCGGGTGATGGTGAGGAGACCAAGGATACATTTTTAACGCTTTTAATGAACCTTAGGGATTCAAAAAATGAGCAGTTGCGTTCACAAGTAATGAAAGGTGTATTACCAGTAGAGGTTTTAGTTAATTTAAACGAGGTCGATCTTGTAAACCCGGAGCGGCGAAAGAAGTTAGATGAGGATTTTCAGAAGCGTGCACGCGATACTAATCTTACCGAGATCCAAAAAGGGCTTATGACCACCTCTACTTTGTTTTCATGCCCATCATGCAAGGCGCGCGATTGCTCATGGACACAAAAACAAACACGCTCCGGCGATGAGCCGATGACGATATTTTGTACCTGTAATGTGTGTGGTAACACGTGGAGAAAATACTAATAATACATTTTTTTGGTTCGTCTTGCCGTTATTGTTCCGTGTCTTTTGAATAATTTGTACTGAAACGAGTGAGTTATGCCATTTCATTGTCATGTAAATAGAAATGCTAAAACGATCATTAGCATCAAAGTATCATTGTACATTTATACATACTCAATTTATAGTTTTATATCTAGCTAAGCCCACACCATGGATTATGAAAAAATCAAGGGGGATGTTAAGATCGTTGAAAACTTGAACGAGCCGTCACAAGGCAATTTGACATCGTATCAGGAAACACTGCGTTTCCGAACATGGCGCAAACACACTCGGGACCTTTACCAAAGTCTTTTTCACATTGACCTTGTTTGGGAAACCCCAGCTGCGCAGCTCATGCCATTTGTTACACCAAAAGGTGATGTTACAACCTACACCATACTCAGTGGAACACGCACAGGAGGGCAGGAACAGGCTTACCTTCAGCTTCTTGCTGCAACACTCCCTAGTAACACCAGTATTTTAGATAGTGCTGATCGTCCTTATTGCGATGCTACTGGCGAAGTGGGCGGGTATGGAATGTCACCCAGCACATGTAACCTTCGAGTTGAGCGTCGCATTTTGCACGACGGCGATGTACTGGCCGCACGTTATATGTACGCAAACCCACTTCTTATTGCGTCTGCATCCAGCAATGGAACGGTTTACATCTTTGACTGGTCGCGCATTTCGCTGAATCGGTTTCCAAATGACCCTCCTCGTCCACGGGCACCCCTACCTCCGAACGAACTGAGCAGCAATCCCAGTGACGAGGAACGCATCAATTATCAGAAGCGCATGCGTGAACTCAACACAATTATAGCAGAACAGGACCGCTGGGACCGTCGACGTGGTGCAGGCCAGCACGTCCTCACGCTGGTCGGTGGCAACGGTCCCTCTGACAATTTGGATTGGAGCACGTCACAGGATGGCGTGCTGGTTTCTGGTTCTTTAGGAAAAGTGTGCGCATGGAAGATCGGCAACCTTTCTAAGGACGATCCGCGCACTGTAGAACCATACGAAATGTTTTGTTACGATAACGAAGAAGATTGTCGAATCTCATCAGTAAAATTTTTGTGGAAATCTGAAAATGAATTTGTTTGCAGCACAACAAACGGTAGTATTTTTTACAATGATTTGCGTACACAGAACATGACTGAAATCTTTTCTTTACCGGTAGAAGCTACTGCAGTATCAACGTCCCCATTAGATTCCAACCTTCTTCTTGTGGGAAGCCAAGGGGGCGAAGTCTTTCTCTTTGATTTACGGCAAAGCTCGATGCCACTGCATTTGGAACAGCTTCATGAAGGTGAGGTAACATCGTTAGAGTGGTGCCCGCATTCTCAACACCTCTTTGCCTCTGGAGGAGTGGACCAAAATGTGTGCATTTATAACATAAAACGTGAGAAACTACTCTTTAAACACGCAGGTCACACAGATAGCATCATGGACCTTGGATGGAACTGGCAAAAGGCTAATGCAGGACAGCTTTTATCAGCAGATAGTAACGCTTTAATGTTGTGGCGTCCACGCGATTATTATTTCTTCACTTAATATGTTGGATTACCATCAAATAAAGAATTCCCTATAGATATGAAAATTACCTTTTTGCATCTTGTTTTGTGTGTGAAATTTTTTTCTAACTCTTTTTAAAACTTAAACGAATTACGGGGCCAATTCTTGCTCGGTTCATAGACATTACTACTATTAGTTTGCAAATAAATACGCGTATATTACTGACCACTCAATAAATATTATTCAATAAAAAGATAAGTTAAGTTTTGAGTGTTAATCCTTAAGGCTTCTCTATAGTATTATTAATTTCTCTTTCTTTTTTTGACCTTTTTTGAAGATCTTGTTCATATTCGAATAGATTTGATTAGTTCAATTATTAAAAAAGGGGCAGAATACGAACGATATTATTTTAGTGATGACAGACATACCTACAGAATGGGATAGCATGGCTCTAGATGCACGTATTCTAGAAGCCATAAAAGATCTAAAATGGAACGCACCTACCGCTGTACAAGGAGCTTGTATTCCTTTAGCCCTCAAAGGCAAAGACGTTTCCATCCAATCGCGCACAGGAACTGGAAAGACTGGTGCCTTCGTTATTCCCATTATCCAGAGAATTGTTGCGCAGAGGGAGCAAAAGGCTGTCAAAAAAAGAGCAATTGGCCCAGTTGCATTAATTATTGTTCCATCCTTAGAGCTGTGTGAACAAGCTGTTGAAGTAATTATGTTCTTGGTGAAGTACGTCAAGCCAAGAATTGTTGTCGAGAATCTTGCATCTGGGAGCACTCCGACGACTGCTCGGATTCTGTCCGCACATATTCTTGTAAGCACAGCAGCATTACTTGCAAGACTATCCAGGACTAGTGGGCTAACCGTCGAGCATTTTCAACATCTCCGCTATCTGGTTATTGATGAAGCTGACATGCTGGTGTCGATGGCTGAGATATCACTGCGCACCATTCAGTCCCTATTACCCAATTCTCTGCAGGTCATCCTATCTTCGGCAACGCTGAATGAAGGTGTGGCTTCCATCAAGGGACAGTTACTCCATAACCCCACCAACATCGTTTTGACCACCGAGGCTGTGAATAGCACCGAAAAAACCTATACAAACGGACCTATTGTTGAGTCCCGTATCATACTGAAGGACCTGCAACGGAAACTGCTTCGTCAGTACTACTTAGTGGCCACTGATGAGTGCCACCGACATACATTGCTTTTTGCGCTATATCGTATGGCCCTTATTAAAGGCAAAACACTTATTTTTGTTGAAGAGGATGAAGACACGTACCGCCTGCAGAGCTTTTTGGAGCAGCTTGGCGTAGCAACCCTCGTGTATGATGCTGCTCTGCCTGTGAACGTTCGCCTTGATACGCTGCGAAAATTTCAAATTGGATCCAAAGTCTCCACGCTTGTCTGTACGGACAGCACCTTGGAAAGTGCTGAGAAGCTTCAAATGTCGCTAGATGGTGTCGGCGACGATGAAAATGCGGCTGCAAGTGAGGTTGAGCCGCGCACTCGACGGAAGCGTCGACAACGCAGTGCGGGTAGTAGACTTGGCAACGGTGAGGCAAGTGCCGACATACCTTCAGCTCTGCACCGCGGCATCGACTTCGCTCATGTACGTAATGTGATACTGTTCGACGGTGTGAATGCCCTTTCGCCCATTTCTCTCTTGCGCTATACCCATCGTATTGGCCGCGCCGCTCGCGGAGGTGAAGAGGGTCTAAGCATTACGTTTTTTACAGTTCCACAGGCCAAAAAGTATATTCACCCACTTCGCGATTACTGCAAATCTAAAGGGAGCAATGTTGAGCCTTTTCGCCAGATACAACGTTCTGAGGCTGCCAAGCTGCAGTACCGTGTGGATAGTGTTTTAGCCAATACTACGCGTACATCCACACGGAAGCTGCGTGTGGCCACGGTAGCTGCTGAGCTCAGCCGCAGTTCCTATCTAGCTAATCATCTTTGTCAAAAGGATACCGAGGCTTTGCAAAGAGTGGTTAATCGTTGTGCAAAGAAGGTTAAAATCGAGCGAGATTTGCTAGCAGTCCCGGACTATATGGCGTTGTCAAGCGTTGACGAAGTCAGCGATTATACCAAGCGGGTACGGGCCGACCAGACGAGAGCCACCATATTCAAGAAGGCAATCCGCAAGCGAAATGTTGACCCATTAAAATCAGTGGCAATTAAGATACAATCAAATAAGAAACACGAGTAAATTCTAACAGCTGTAATTTGGCGATAATTTGTAAAAAAAAGCATCAATATATATTCTTAAGATATTTCTATGCTACTAAATAATTTTGGAGCCTTTTATGTTTTCGGAGAAGTAGGCCATCATAAATGTCCTAGATAGGATTAGTACTGTGGTCTAATAGCGCTTTCCTTTCAAAGAGGGTTAAGGCGTACAAACATGTAACGAGGTATAACGGAGTTATCAGTCCTTTTTAAGTCTTTATTGGGTTTCACTCTTTGATTTCAAATACTAAGTACAGAACCATCATTTTTGATTATCATTCAATATTCGAAACTAAATCCATACACTAAGTAATTGGAATTTAGTAGTTTAATCACAGTGATTTTGATGACGGATGCTTCTCCTGTAAGCCGCTACTTGCTCTTTGAGCAGTGCAGTGATTTCCAGACCAATGACAAAATACTTTACGCCTTGAATAATGAATTTACAGGTGAAAATGATGTTGGGGTTAAATCATCGCAGAAATTCGCTCTGAATTCTCACTTTTTGGTGCGCAACTTGGAGGACCTAAAGCAATTGTTGTCATATGGTGATCAAAGCACCGCTGTTTCCCCAAGTACCGATACAATACCGATGAGTCCTAAGATATTCATGGAATCATCAACAAAGTTAATGCAATCGAAAAAACTTGGAGAGTCTGCTGATAGAATTGACGAACTTTCTTTGGAACTTCTAGACGCCACTGAGGGCTTGGATGTAAACGTGTGGGATAGTCTTGAGGAGCAGGTGGACATCTGGAGTTGGCCCATCGAGACCTTATATCAAAACTACCACTTATGCCTTGCCATTGACTTCGGCCGCCAGACCTTTGACATGTGTCGAAACGGTTCTATATATGCTGACCGCATTCCGATCATTGTTGATTCTCTTCTTCAGGCCATCAAGGTCATGCTCCAGACTCGTGAACGAGATATCAGCGTACTCACAAAGTGGATCGCTTCGAACGTCGCCGATGAGAAAACTAAACAGATAGCACTTCGGCAATTATGGAATCCAAAGATAGGCATGACAATTTTACTCTTAAATGTGCCTAAAATTGCACCGATTGACGTCCCGTTCATCCCAGTTTCAGATCTGTCTGCCGACAAGGATACAGAAATCGGGGATCATTCCCGCTCAAACCAGAAAGAGACGGTAAATTTGTTTCCCGTTGATACTTCCCCTTTCTTGGTACAAAGCACTCAGAACACCATTGATAGGTCTAATACCTGCACTAGCATCCCATTTCTTAGTATTACTGATGTTCGTATGCTGATCGAAGACGACACCTTTATGACTCGTCTGCGTGATACTTTATTGATGTACGAAAGTGCATACCGCGAGAAGACACGTAATTGGCCCGAGTCGAACTTGTCAAGTTCATTGGAGTATCTCATTCGCTTAGCTCCCGAGGCCCCCCGAGAATGTTATAGCGTGTTATTAGTTACGAACACTTTCCCAATGAGCTGTTCCGAGTCACTTTCTTTTTTTGAAGGCATGGTACGTCGCAAGAACCTTATCTTATCTGTTGTCACCTTGAATATCCAGCATACTTTTGATACACCACAACTTTATGCGCTTGCACATTTTATTTCCTCCATTGGTGGCTTTCTGGTGAATATTCACTACTGGCTAGCTCTTTCTTCCCAGCGCGCCAATTCTGACTGGTCCCACCGCTTTGAGGGTACTCGTTGCCTTGTTCAGCAGCTCTTTGTTCAACTGATACGTCATTTTCCAGTATCCCGCTATGGAGTTGCGGAGTGTCATCCCTTCAATGAATTTGTGGATCGAGTGCCACTGGTTAACTCTGATTGGGGATTGGAGGATCTTGTGCTCAGCCAGTGCACCCCGGAGAATGCTCTTCGTGCAGTGGCTGTGGCTCGCTACAATGAGGGGTGGTCCGTGTTGATGGACTACAAAGATGAGCGATCCCCTTCACACCTTTTTGCTTGTTATCATCATCATACCCATCGTGGCATGCTTACTCTGCACTACGAGATTGATATTAACTATCCATTGATGTACCGCCGCATATTTGTTTCCGGTGCCAAAGTCCTTGTGGAAGATTTTCTCTGGACCCAATGCGAAGAATCAAGCACAGTATCCTTGGGCAAGGCCAATGACGACTGGATATTGTATTTGAACTTACTACGTCTTCATGTGTCTAGCTGGTTACGGGCAGAGAAACTAATGTTGAAGTTTCTGGACTTTCATCCCAAGGCTGCTGAAAATTCCTTATTATCGGAGATGTTGTCTTCATTCTCGTCTGCGGATGGTGTTGCTATGGAATGGCACAACGTCAGCGTCGTTGACTCGATAGGAATGTTTCTACGTTACGAGGATAGTCCTTCTCATCTCTTTCAACATCTCGCAAGCACCATACTTCCTTCTCTATCGCCGGTGTCCGCATTTGCGGCCAGCAGAACTATACTAAAATCTGTAATGCTTAAAATGCATTACATGATAGGAAAGGAGGAAGACTTTATATTTGTGAGCAAAGAAACCGTCAATATTCCCCTGTATATCGTTCAGTTCTTTCACCTAAACGATTCCTCAAGTGCAGAGTTTATGCTTGCATCTGGTTTTGAGTGTCGCGTAAGTTTTTTTTCGTGTGATATGATCAAACAACGCGAGGCGCTTTCGGATATCATTGATACCATCACTGGAACTCTTAATTCTGTCCCAGGGGTTAGCGTTCCCAAGGCAACTGACACACCACGCATCTTAACAGAGGTTGCCATCCATCCACCCTTGCAAGGATCATCCTCAGCGACTCCTCCTGCGCCACTGACAACGTCGTTACTTGGCCGTTTGGCGGTATCAATGTCACTCTCTAGTGTTAACCGACAAGCCCTATTAGTTTCTTTAATCGCCATATCCTCTCGTCCACTGGTATTGCTTTCACTTTGTATCGAACACGATATGTCTGTAAATCCTCATGCATTGTCTGATTCACTACTCGGCTCTAAAAGTGTCACTTCCTCTTCGGCTGTACTACCTCCAAAATTAAAACTATCTTCTATGTTGTCTATCCAAAGGGCATTGTTCACACCTTATGTCATCACGCCTTGGATTTTATCCAAAACACTGCGGAGGCGATGGGTCTTTTCCTGCTCTGAGGTATACCCTCATACTATGCACGAAGCTTTTGCCTTTTTTGTGATGCGCCGCTTACGTGAGGGATTCAAGCTGTTGCTATGCCACACTAATGCTTTAAAGGCTGTATTACAGATTGAGAAACCTGATTCCGTAGTTGTATTCGATATTATAGCGGTGTTTGAGCAACACTACCTGACTGTAGTTCATTTGGTTACCCCATACAATGATTCAACAAAAGCCGAAGCTAGACGAGGCATTCAAGAAGATCTTCACATTATCACTACTCTACAGACCTTCAAAGCCTTTTCAAGTCTTCAGGAAAGTAATGGGAGACATTCCATGATATCGCGAGAAACTGTACGGCAGGGGGTGACGACAATTAGCACTCGCATAGAATTTCTGCTATGGTATTTGCAGCCTTCTCACACTCAATTCCTCGAGCTGGCGTCTGCATCGTCATTAGGTACCAAGGGTTGTCAGGAATTGCGTGAAAGGCTCGTATATCTTATCGGTTCTCTTGGCGATCATCACGCTCGTCTCACGACTGAATCATTTCGGGATGATTTTCCCCAACTCCTTTCCTCATCTTCCACTGACATAGCAGTAATGGGGGAGACTAAGATTTTGATTGCCGTATTGCACCCTATTCGTTACCAAACAATTACGTTTGTACTAATTCTTGAAAACGATACCCCGGATGGGACAGAAACGGGTATTGTAAAGGTTGCTTTGACTTCTTTGAGTGCGGACGTGTTACGTTACGGCCTTATGGATCGGTATAGGCTGGAGCAGGAGCGGAATGATCATAGTTGTCTGCCTGATTGCATCATAGATCGAGCCGTTCTTCAGTCTTTGCGTCAACTACTAACGAATTTTGCCAGTATCTACGTCATTTACCAGCTCATAACAGTCATTCAAAGAGCACCAATGACTGAATACAGTGAAAAACCATTCTTGGAGGATATTCACAAGCGGCTGGTGGCTCTAGATAGCTATGTTGCCGAAATAGATGTATCGCACCTTCTATATGCTATTCAATATCAATGCAGTGCACCGTATTCCAACGAAAGACTCAATGCCACTCTGATAGAGCTTGTGGCACAGCAGGCTCGCGTTTTCCATTCTGACCCCTTTCTTTTCTTCCCATATGTTCTCGACAATCAGGCACAAGATAAGGGAAGCACAGGGTATCAGGGCAGTTTTTTTTTATCAGAATCCCACGTTAAGAATGTCTCGTTTCCGAACAACTTTCCCATCGTTATAAAGATTGAGGCCTTGTGCTCATCAACTTTGGTGACTGATGCAAGTGAGGATGGTAATAACATTGCCACCTCTGGTGATGAGATCAGTGGAAGCGCAGTGACCCATCGTTTTTGGGTATCCTGTGAAAATTTATCGACGGAGAACTCTGACGGGGTCGCATCTGTTGAAAATTGTGCGAAGCTTAATGCTTTTCCCAAACATTCCTTACGACTGCGCATCTTTTTCAAGACAGTCCCACTCGAAATGCTTGATTCCTGCAAAGATGGCTACTTCCGGCCTCCACCGGCCACCGTTTGTAGCACCCTTCGTGCATTTGTTTACAAGCTGATCTCTCAGGAGGCCCCGTCGAAAAATATATGGGGTATGATTAATAGTACTAGTGCTGCTCCCATAACAGATTCTGATAAAAATGTTTCTATAGATATTTTTCAAACTATTGAAGTTGGTGATCATCAAGCATCGGAGACTTACTTCAAGAAGTCTCAACCCATTTCGGGATTGCCAGAGATACTTGAAAAATGTTTGTCCAGCATTAGTGATGATCTCGGGCGGCGAATTGCTCTCTATGCCCTGAACGCCAGCTTTGATTCAAGTTCCTTCAAGCAACTTGAGACAATTATCAAGCCTCATCAAGAAGACCCAGGCGAAGGTATCAGTGTACCTGCCTGCAAAAATTCCAACGACACTGAGAGTGCTAGAACAACCGATGGGCCTTGCGATGGCAAGCACAGTTTCCTAGATTCCCTGTCCCATGATGATCCTTCTGTGTGGCCACAGGTTTCTACACTTTCTGGATTGCTCATGTTGCTTACAACTGTGGTGAAACCTGCTTTGCTTAGTTCTACTTGCTTTCAAACTGATGTTTTCCCTGTCGAATTCACGCAGCAAGCGACAACTCACCGTAGCGTAGATCCTGTCACGGCCGCTGTGGACGTTTTTAGGCGGTGTGTAGATGAAGACCACATGTGTGTTCTGCCAGCCAGAAAGTTTTCCTACGTATTCATTCCAAACCGTTTCTTCTTTGCACACCGTTGGATCATGGTGTATCTTGAATTGCACGTTAGCGGCAGATATTCGCATCGTGCGTCGATTCTATGCTACGATGCGCTTTCTTCGATTTCAGAAAGCTGCGTCTCGAACAATTTCAGTCAACAATTGCGTGATCATATTTTCAGAAAAATCGTGAGAATCAGTCAATTGCATCTACTGAAACAGCTGCGCGACACGCAGTATGCCCACGAGGAGCTAATCCCGGTGCACTGGGGCGATCAATTTGATAGTGGGGCTGACCATTACAATATTGCTGGAAATGAGCCTCCCACACGCGCGGAAGCTACTAGCGTCACGTCGTCTTCCTTCTGCTTGCACGGCCAGAATATTTTAGAAATTCCTATTTACTATAAATTGCAGCATCAGTGCAAAAAAATTCTTTCTTGCATTTCCAGCAACAGTTCACGACTAGAGTTAATCACTATATTTAACCGTGAGCAGTGTTTTATGATCGCCGATGATGAGGAAGGTGACACCTTTCACTATATTCGGTTAATTTTCGTTAAGGATGTGCCACACAGTGCCTCTCCTACCTCACTGCCACCGCGTATGAACGTCTCGGATCGTTGCCCGCTACTCGTTGTGCAACTTTTTACTGCGACCACAAACGCGTCCATTAAACGACCACTTCAAAAATTGCAGGACTTTTGTTATTTTCTCGCTGTACAGGAACTTCAAGGACACCTTAGCTATATTCAACAGAAACAGATATCCTTTAACGACCTTGTTTTTTTGCAGAACCAACCCTTACAACCGCTTGTTATTGATTTGAACGCGCTCCCGTATGCTGCTGAGTGTGAACAGGATAAAAAGGCTGATTCACAATTTGTAGCCGCTCTTTTATTTCTTAACCTCCGTGCGAACAAGTTTAAGCAATTCGATGTGCAAATCAAGGAGCAGTCTCATGCAGCGAGCACTTTCATGGAACACTATAATCTAGAAGGGGTGATTAAGCAAAGTACCGCATCAGCTGGACCGTTGGCCACCATGCCTATGGTTCCTTCACAAACATCGGCCTCTTCACTTTTCTCTGAAAAGGTTGTCGACGATGAAAAAAAATCCATAACTCATAATGATCGAATTCTGCGCTTCGTCAGGATCATAGATGGACTCACTGATGTTTTAGTTTCGTGTGCAGTGTGTATAAGAAGCTCAAACCCGGACTCCATTATAATTGAGCGTTATTTAACTAAAATCCCATCCAAGCGTTATCTTGACAGTAACTTAGAAGATGCGATTCTGAAGCAGCTCAGCGAATGCGTGGCTACAACAGTGGCACAACTTTCATTTCACGCTTTTTCTGAACAACTCGGTGTTTTGAGACTGTCTGATGTTTTGCATACCACAGAGCGGCTTATGAGCATACCCATGAATGCTCCTCTTCAGGATACATTCATGCTTCGGTATGAGTTCTTTTCGCTTGATGAGGCTAGCCCAGCGGTATATCCATATTTGGTTGAGCGCTTGTGTGGGGCTCTCGCGCCTTATCAGCCGCGATGCTGTGAAAAAAAGGGCACTTGTCTTGCATCAGTCACACAGCCAGTTCATGGTTTTCCGTGGAAGTGGATAGAAGCGCAACAGAATGATCCTCTCTTGGATCAAACGGAAGTATTCATCTTATGTGGCTACACAATTCTCGAATGTGAAGGAGCCCAACAGTCGGAGCTTCAGCCAGTGCGTGTTGCACCATACACACTGGCGGATCTGCCTATCACGACTACCACGGTTGAAGAGGCAAATGCTGTAGCTCTTGAGAAACATGGATTAGCTTACCAGTCAAACATGTGCTGGCGCATTCTAGTGAGGGTATCCATATTGAAAGGAATTTCCGTTTGCCTCTTTAATTTGCAGGATTTTGAGCTTATTATTCGGTTAATCACCTATATATTAGAGGATCTTTTGGATAAGTCGGCGCTACTGAACACCATTCTCATGCAGCGACTAGGATATGCAATACCTTCCTCATTTACAGGGGCCGACTTGATGCGAGAATGCCCCAATGACCTGTCCAATGATTTGTGGAATAAACCCATAGTAATATATAGTCAGAGTTGTAGACGCCACCCGAGCAACGTTCGCTTTCGATCGCATCAAGAAGTTGTTGATGAGCCTCTTTGGATTGTGATAGAAGGCCTATTTAACCGTGGATTAATCGTAAGCCTTACTTTTTCCCTTGAGGATGCGATCAAAGTATTATATGACGACAGCACTCTCTACTCCTTAGGGGATTGTGAGCGCATACTGTTTAAGTACCTTGAGAGCGGTGTATTCCTAGAGGAAAGTGCGTCTACCTTAAAGCCGCAGTTACCTCTTTTTCATGTATTGCATCCTAAAGAGTCCAGCCTTCGCTCAATTGTTTGCCGCTTAGTTGTTTCTAATTACATACCCGAGGATGCTCTCGCCGCGTGCAACTACCGTCGTCATCTAATAACTGCGCGCATAGACGTTGAGGCGCAAAGTGCTAGCTCCAGTGTTGCTGAGATTCTTGTCCGTTGTGATGCGCTTTGGCGTTTGGGGCCTCAAAACAACGTCCTTGAGTTAGCCAAATCAGTTATTATGCTTATCATGAAAAGTAAACACGTGTTTGGTTCTCGCGTGCCCGACTTTTCGTTGCGTCGGGAACATTGGAGCCCAGAAGATGACGTGTTGGACACAACCTTGCCGGCTCCCTCTCAGCAAAACGCGAATTACTCCTACCCCGTAAATATGGCACTGTGGACTTATATGGACCACCTGCAGAAGCTATACCCCTCGATGTGCATTATTGATCTAGACCCGAACGATATGACTGTTGCTTCGGATCCAGTTTTGTTAAACCGCCTACGTTGTCGCTACGGAAAGGTCACATTTAATGATGCTAAGGTGGTCTGTTTCACTCCACACCTGTATTATGCTGTTATTCCTTTTGTTGACCTCCTCCGCTGCCGATGCATTTCAAAATATCATAAGCAGTTTCTTACTTTGTGCCGCAGCAATAGCGCGGCCGTCGCGCCCATTACGTCATCTGGGCTTTTCATCGTCGAAGTTGGACTCCAAGTGGCTCACTATGCTCTCGATTTTTTTGTTATCAACGGCAATAGCATACCACCCTGTGTAACGGCCATGGTCGCTACAACCTTCAAGGAGAACCTTATATTTGACAGTATCATCTATGACACCTCCGTTCGGTACTTCTCAGAGTGCTGTGCATTTCGCAGTGCCGTATTGCCTGCACACCAAGAGATGGTGACTGCGGTGGCCAACCTCGTTCACTACTATCCTTCTCCTCCCCCCAAGTGCACGAACCTTGTTGCGGCTTACCACATCACCGACCCACGCCTTGTGCAGCTGCGAACGTTGCGGACGAACGGAAAGCCACGACATGACGGGGCTCGCGCCGGAAGGTCAGTCCACGCCGCGAGTCAATGCACCTTCATGGTTCTACAGCCGGAGGACCGGACGCTCCGCCGGGGGGTCCTTCAGCGGGGCTACCTTTACAGTGGGCTGATCCACTGGGACACCGCCCAGCTTTTCGTTTTCCTGACCACCTTGGAGGAGGAGGTGGGGGTTGGCACGAAGCGATATCGAGGCAGGGATATTGACGCGCTCATCACGGAAGCAAAGCGGTTGCTGCTTCAGCAGTTGTTAGAGAGCACTCAACAGGAGAGGATCGACGCTGCATGGGATAAATTCTTGTTCAACCCAGAGAATGTCCTAACCAGATCTACGGATTATGATGAGTATGAGTTGATTCTTCACCATTCCCAAAGGGTAAATATGTCTTCCTATGTATCACCACTACAGCGCTTGTTGGGGACAATTGTGCTTTCTGGTGATCTTGAGGCTCTTCCATATGTCTCTCAGAGAGCCTTCCCCGACCACGTGTTGCGGGTGCTCTGGAGGCCTATTATTCCGGAGGCAGCCCTTTCTTCAAAAGAACCGAATGGTGATCGTGGATATTTAACATACCCAACCAAACAGTGTATTCCATCATTTTTTGTGATCGATGTGGAAAGACTTTTCTGCCCAGAGAGAACACCAGGGCGACTAATTCTGACGTTTGCCCCGAAGAATGTTGAAGGCAATTTCTTCATAGCTTTAGAATGTCAGATCTCTCCAAAAGTGGGCACCCCATTTATTGTGGAGTCTTTGTCGTCCCATAGACGACTGAACGACTCATCGTTACGATTTTCACCATTTTTGCCCTTAATGGGCGAAGAAAACCGTTTACTCAAGACGTTACTTTTATTGCTTACCCATACCATGCAATTTGTCGTCACTAGGTCGCCGTTGCAGAATCTTTAGTTAAATCACCAGTCCTTTAGTGTATTAGCTAAAAATGTTTACTCTTATTTTATAGGATACCTGATAAAAAAACAATTGGAAGGCTTCACATGCACAGGAGTGAATTCTTTCCTGTCCAAACCTGTATGAAAAGAATGTGGTAGATCGAATATTTCTATCACTCAAAAAAAAGATTTTATATGGTTTCTGTGATTTTCCCAACTTTCATGTTTGCTTTATTTCAGGTTGAACTTTTTTTTCTAAGATATTCTAAAATTTTGAACCCCCAAAACGTTTTTTTCCTGATAATATTTATCATATCAGATTTTTTACCCTTTTCTTTTATCACAATGCTTCGTGAACTTGTGGTATCGGAAAATAAATGGGTTACCCTTGGCTATCATCCATCCTTTTCGATAGACCTTACTCCAGTGATATCTGATCCAAAAGAGATCGAAATAAGCATGTTTGTGGGTCACATCCTTTCCTGCTCAAATACTGGCATGATTTTCATAGAAATTTTTAATCCAATAACGTGTGTATGCATCAATGGGGAGCGAATCGATCCACACGTTTGTATTGCCATAAACCCTGGATCTATTCTTTCATTTGTATCTCGCAATAATAAATTCCCTAAGTTTAAACTGATTTTGAAAAATCAATCTTCGCTGCAAATTTCACCTGTAGACCGCAGGAACTCCTCAATAATTATTAAGGGGGACAGTGGAGCACTTACATTGTGTACAATTGAACATTGCAGTGAGTTTTATAGCGCTGATTACAACGAAAATATACCAGTGCACAGGAAGTATATAGATCAGAATGTATGTCACCCTGCGATTACTTTACCAAAAGATCCAGAGCATACCACTGTTTCACCCCTAAATCCAGATTGCACTATAGCACCGCGGCGAGTACTTGATGGAAGTGAAAGTGATGAATGCATATCACTTCGTAAATCAGCCACCAATTTATATAAACCATGTTATAACATGGATTTAGGAACGGTTTTCTCTAAGTTTTCAGATACCGACGGAGAGTCGAAACCCAAGGAATTCTACCCTAATATGTATTTAACAAACAAATCAACAGATATTGTGGAATTGTCTACTCAAACAACTCTACCGATTCCAGTAACTTGCCGAGACCCAAATAGAGACCAACCTTTGAATTTGAATCAAGCTTCATTCCGTACACGAACCGATATGGATTTAGGGAGCGACACCCTACCCACCGACTTTTTGATTTCCCCCTTTGTTATAACGCAAAGCAATTTCAAGGCAGAAGAGGTCCCTCTATCAAGGCTTTCAATGTCGGCCCCCAAAGATCCCCAAAGGGCCGAACGCGTTTCGGAAGTATGCTACGGCGTCATCTCTGCCCGTTCCGTTAAATATGTGGAGAAAGAGGCCGCTGTTTATTCGCCACCTATGTCGCTGTCGTGGCAGGCGGCGTTACGTTTAATGGACCGTGTTCTTGGAATCCGAATGAAAGGCGAGAAAGTCGAGCCATGCACCGAACTGGTGACCCCTTTCACCGATGATGCCATAAAAACAGGAATCTTACGAGATTTTGAATCTGTGGTATCACATCTCAAGCATGTGCTGCAGAGCAAGTCACTGGCACTGAAGCTGTCCTCACCCATATTTGCCTGTGGGGATCTTAGAGGCAGCTTAAGCGATTTACGGGCCATTTACAAGGCGGTTACATTTTTAAGTCATTGGTCTGCTATGAATGTGCCTGTTCTCTTTCTGGGAGACTACTTAGCTTGCAGCTCTACAAATCTTGAAGTTATCTTTTTACTTTTTTCATGGAGCCTACTGTGCCCAGACGTGCACATGCTGCGTGGGAGCAACGAATTTATGGAAAGTAAAGATCGAGTTGTTAATGGGGTGTTCTTTGGTACAATGCCGTCTAAATGCACACTTTTGCAGCAATGTCGATTTTGTTTTGGCGAAAATTCTGGGCGTTCTCTGTGGACAACCATCAAAGATGTCTTGAATAAGTTGCCCCTAGTAGCGGTTATCGATGACAAGATCTTTGCATCCCATAGTGGTATTCCTCTACTGAAGAAGGATGAAAAGTGTCAATTTGTACCAGATTCTGGCACTGTAGATTCTACCTCAGCTGCATTCCTTCAATCTTTTCATTACCAGTCTGTATCCAGCTGCAATTGCCAGGATGGCCCTATCAAGAAGGGACCCTGCCGCTTTGTACCATCCGAGACTATGTTTGAAGACTTTCTCAAATGCAAATGTTCAAGATGTTATTTTGAGTTTGAGGAAGTTGATTATAGCCATGTAGACCCCTCTTATGTGTCTGAGCGCCGTCAACTAGTGCGAGAGCTTCTGGGGAACGAACCAGGTAATTTTCGCAGTTCCACTGATAAACTTAAATCCAATTTAGAGGAATCTACTACAAAGTTAATGTCAGAATCATCCACATTTTATTACGATATTGACGCTGAGGTTGATGGATTCTGTTGCAGCATCCGTTCTGAGGATCTTGACGGCTCTCTACGACAGTTCAATGATGTCGCGCTCATATATTTTTTAAGGCGCTTCAAATTTTCACACTTATTGCGTGCTCGAGGCAACGGCTATATTGATGATATTTCTCACGGAGGCAGAATTATCAGTTTAACGTCAAGCGGAGACGACCCTTCCGGTTGTCGCATTCAAGCTGGTAAAATTACTTTATACTCTTTGAAGGACTCCCCTTCTTTTTCTGGAGATTATATCGACATAGGGACCTATTGAATACCTTACAGCATTCACTTTGACGTTCCCTTTCTTTCTGAAAATATTGGGACGGAAATCTATTTTGAATACCACCTAACTAAAAAATATAGACCATACTGCTAGATATAAATGTGCATGAAACTCATCTCCATTCTCATGGTTTTAGTACCAATTATTCTAATTAAAAGCAGACATTTTCTATTGTACGATGACTTCACCATTTTGATCTGTTTCTACGGCTTATAAAGCTATTTTTTTAATTTTAATGTTTTTCATCCAAATTACTATTTTATTTTTACTGAAATTTAAAGAATAATATTTCAAATTATTGAATTTATATGAATTCTTTTTTTCACTATTAGGAAATCTCTATTCCTTTTCAAAGAGTGCTTGATTTTTTACTTACTACTTTAAAGTTGGCCTAATCTCAACTGAGAGATCCATCTGAATCAAAACCTTCCTTTTTGTACATGTACACCGTCTTGTTTTGGCGTGAGTATTTGTATGCATTTTAACCTAGTTAATAGCCCTTTCACTGCATTTAAATTATTCTTTATTCAAGTTTTACATTGTTGTTGTGTTCCAATGATATTAGTATGTGTCATTTTACGAATTATACGAGATCCTTAACATGCCTTTCATTTTGTTATCTTCCTTTTATGTTACAACTAACGGTATAGAAAAAAAAGTTCTTTACGTAGGGATATTAATAGTAGTTTCAGGACTTTCTTTTATTGTTCGTACCTTGCAGAATCCTTTAGAGGAGTCGATCAAGGGCGCGAGTCTTATTTACTAGGAATTAAACGATAAGTACTTATCTAAGTTAACCCAAACCTCAACAGCGGTCAATTATGGCTAGCCACGCCGCCCGCATGTCCTTCAGCAACCGCAGCGTGATGCAGTCGCAGCAGGCACCCACCGCGACCTCTCACGCATCGCGCGAAGAGTGCCGCTTATCTATCATCAAGGAGGCTCACGACCCCACTTCTTCCACCAATAAGCCTGCCAGTGAGGACGTTGTGGAGCGCATTCTTAAGGCGACAGACCCGAATGTACGATCTATACCGGTGTACTTTGATTATAAAAAAGAGGCCAGAACGTACAAATTCTTTTCGAGCGTCGGAACCGTTGCCACGCACTTTTCCCTTGACGGTCTAGCCATTCGAAAGGTTTCCCCAGAGGCTATCCAACAGCAGGAGGATCGCCAACGCCGACAAAGGGAAACAGAAGAGGCGGCAAAAGCTGAACTCAACCCGGACCAGGCTAAGGATTTTGTCTCCACCAAGATTTTGAAAAATCAGTTCAACTATAGTGATCGCGGAAGTCAGACGATGAACAACCCTATTAAGAATCGTTCGGTGGTGACAGACCCACCGCCGGCTATTTTATTCGGCGCTATGGCCACCGCTTGGGCGATTTACGACGCCTACGAGGCCGACCGCCTGCAGAACGAGAAGGCATCCGCGGTGCAGCGTAAGGTGGCCGCGGGGTACCGCGCCGGCAAGGACGAGGACTCCGCTTTCACGATCACAGGAAGCACGGCCAGCTTCAATGGAGAAGATGCCGCCGCTGAGACCCCCGGCTCAGGCTACAATGCAATGCAATCCAAAGCCTTTGCGGGCGCACTCAAGATCATGGAAAGAATGGTGAATCAAAATGATTGTTTCGATATAATAGATGACTTCAAGTTCTGGGAGGATCAGAGTGATCTTTACAAGGAGGAGGGCACGTTATTACCGCTGTGGCAGTTCTACACCGAGCGCTCGAAGAAACGCTCCGTCACCTGCATCGCGCAGAGCAACAAATACATCGACTTCTTCGCGGTTGGCTACGGAAGCTACGACTTCCAGAAGCTGGGAAAGGGCAGCATCCATTGCTTTACTCTCAAAAACGCCGTTCCGACGGTTTCAAAGAACTCCCCGTCGGCGCACCCTGAGTACAGTTTTCTTATGGAAAGTGGCGTGTTATCCCTCGCCTTTCACCCAATCCACTCACATCTCTTAGCGTGTGGGCTCTACGACGGTGCTGTGTGTGTGTTTGACCTCCATATCAAGGACGAGCCGCGGCATCAGAAGCCGATTTACAGCGCTACGGTGCGGACCGGCAAGCACACGGAGCCGGTATGGCAGCTCTACTGGCTGGACGATCCGTCCGTGCTCTCCTTTAATTCCATCAGCACGGACGGCCGCCTAACGAACTGGCAGCTGCACAAGAAGGAATTGGTGTCGAAGGATATTATGATTCTGAGGACCGACACCGTCGCGCTCGATCCGGAGGGGATGCTGCTAAACTACCTCAGGGGGATGTGTATGGACCAGTCGCCAGTGTACGGGCAGATGGTGGTGGGCACGCAAGAGGGCGTCGTCATGCTCTGCACCGCCAACGTCCAGAACTTAGAGCGTTTCGAAGGCCACAACATGGCCGTCTACACCGTCAGCTGGAACCCCTACCACCCGGACGTCTTCATCTCCTGCTCAGAGGACTGGACGATCAAACTCTGGCTGAAGTCCTCCGCAATGCCGCTCTTGACGTTCGACGTGGGTGACGCGGTTGGGGATGTGGCGTGGGCACCTTATAGCTCCACTGTATTCGCCGCCGTCACGTCAAACGGGAAAGTCATTGTATTTGACCTCAACCAGAATAAAACTGAGCCGCTTTGTGTCCAGACGGTTGTAAAGAATGCCAAACTCACTCATGTGGCCTTCAATAGGGTGAATCCCATATTATTGGTAGGAGACTCTCGTGGTACTGTTCTTATATTGAAACTCTCTCCTAACCTTCGTAAGCGAATCAAGCCGGCTAAGGGAGAACGCTTCGACGACGCCACGCTACGTCGTTTAGAGATGGAAAAGTTAGCTCGCTTAATTGATATTACACTGAAAGATCGAGTATTGTTGGGGATGTCTAAGTAGTAGCCTTGTATATTTTTTATTATGCAACTTCTAGGCATAGAAAGTCTTGAGGAGGTACTTCTATATCCTTATCGATACAGCTCACTACTAGCGCCAATGGGCTTTTAGAAGAAAAAAAAGAGGTGAGGTGAGGGGTGACTTCCTGCGATGTATCCATTAACACTCCACGAAGCACTAAGATCTTACTTTTGATGTGATCACGCTTTTTACCCCTTCACCTTTTTTCCTACAGATGGAAAAGAGAGATGAGGTCGCTTGAATTTTGTCATCTAGTACTGTGGGATAAAAATTTGAAAACTGACAAAATTAATCACAGTACAGGTGGTAAGTTTTGTATTTAGGCTCTACCTCTCCAAATGCGTATGCACTTTTGTACAACTCGATGTATTTATCTCATTTGTTCTGACTCTGACGCTCATGTAATTCTACAAATCAATTTTTTTTTGTATCTTTGTGCAGATTCGATACAGACGAATCCAAATAGATAGCTTAAAGGATACCAAACGGTATGACTTTCCTCTTTTGAATGATTCAGTCATCATTTTTTTCTTCTAATATTTGTCTTGATTACATTATTCACTTTTCTGAAAGAGTACTATTTTTGCTACATCTGAAGACTTTTTTTTTTCAGATCCACAAAATTATTTTACATAGATTTATTAGAACAATTTAACAGAAGATCAACTTTGGGTTTCTATTCCTCATAACTTACAAAGGCCACCTATATTATTTTAATTTTTTTCTTAACTTTTCACGTAGAGTAATAAAGCGAGGGAGAAGACTCCTCCCCTAAAAACACACACATCCCTACGCACGCACCGATAGAACCAACGTTATTATTAATAAAAACAAGGTTCATCCTAACAGGTGACGAAAGTGTAAGTTTGTGCACATAGAGAACTAACTTATAAACGTAATTTCCTCAGGAAACTTCAGTACACGCTCCGTACAGGGCTAATTTTCCACCTCCCCGAAAGCGCCAATTCGAACCATGACGTCCATTGAAGTCCTGAACGATAAAGCTGGAAACTCACTCACTAGTATCCAAAGCCTATGGAATAGTCGGCTGCGATCGTGCTGCAGTTCCCCGATTGACGTCACGGCGACGACGATGATGTCGGGGTACGCCACCAAAGTGGACCTCAGCTCATCTTCCTTTTCTAGTAATGCCGGATTAACGGACAGCCCGAGTTCCCTTTGGAAGACCCACACCGTCCCCGAGGAGGCCTCCAGCGTGCCGCGCAACGCCGGCGAGCGTGCGGACGGAATAGAGGACCTCGCGGCCTCCCCGCGCGCGCGGCGCCGGCCCACGACGCCGGAGCCCGAGGCCTCGGAGGCGGCTGTCGCGGGGAGGCTGCAGGCGGCACTGGTGGGGAGCCCGCGGCTCTGCAAGCCGCTCTTCTCCGCCTACCTCCTGCAGGGCCTTGAAGCGGACGACCCCCCCCCGGCTCTGACTCTTGTGCTGGACCTTGATGAGACGCTGGTGTGCAACCGCAGCCCCCACGCCCCGCGGCCGATCCTGCGGCCCTACGCCCTGCACATGCTCAACGCCCTGCGCCACATGGCCGACCTCGAGATCGTCCTCTGGACGGCGAGCACGAAGGAGACGGCGACGCGGGTGGTGCAGCGGCTCAACGCGAACGGCATCGTCTTCGACGACGTGATCTTCCGCAATAACCTGTGGTTCACCCAGCCGGTCTACACCAAGGACCTCCGCCTGCTCGGGCGCGATATGGATAAGGTCGTCATCGTCGATAACGCCGCTAACAGCTGCAAGCTTAACCCACGCAATGCGTTGCTTATCGAGGACTTCCACGGCGAACGTGATAAGGAGGATGCCGCGTTGGTGAACGTTTACTACGCGGTCGAGGCACTTCTTGCGATGTCTAAAAATGGGGTATCGGTAAGGGATGGACTGGATAAGCTAGCGGGCACAGGCCTTCTCTGCCACGAGATTTCCATACGTATTCCTACTCCATGGAATACCATGCCTTTGTCGTTGATCTCACCGATTAAACTGCCACCTTTTGGAAAGTTTATAAAATCCAACACCAAACCTCCTTCTCGATCCATCATGAATTACTGGACTTATTAGCGAACAGACTCGTACAGTCAAGATACCTCCCTACTATCATCTACGACAAATTAAGTTGGAAGCACTCGAAGAGTAATTGAGTCTATAAAAATCTCCAGAGCTATTTATCATTTACTTGTTCTATTTCTAGATCGTATTACTACCCATTTAATGAATATCTCGACATCTGCGAAAACTCTAACTTTTTTTTTTGGTAAAAGGTGTAAATGACTTGGCATAGATGTTTTTCATTTTTAGTTTAAATAGCAGATTTGGGCTTTTGCTATAGTTTTCAAGATTTTGATTTTTAGAAACTATTATTTTCTCCGTAGGCAATCCCATCTTTTCCTCGAATACCATATATATAGATAGAGAGAGAAAAAAAGAGAAAGAGATAGAATGCATTTTAATCGAGGGGAATAAATTGTGTGTCTATGGTATCAAAGCAGATAATACTTTGTGTTCGTTTGTGCTGTCCCCTCGATGCAATTAGGGGTCACAATATTTGGTTTCATTAATTATAGAAATTATATTAAGTGCGTTCTTTGATGAATGACTTTTTCACATCACTTTTAGCAAGTTCTTATGCTTATCCACCTGTTTTTATGTCTTATTTTACACCTAATGTTATATTTAAATTAAAATTTCACCTATGTATTATTTATAGATACACTTTAAAAAGAAAAACATGAATGTAAGTATAAAATTGCTACGTAGTAAACGGGATTCAACTTGGATTATAAAGATTATACGTATGTGTTTAAAGAATTTATCTATTAGATGATTTGCTTCAAACCCTTTTCAACACTTTTTCTTTATCTATACATTTGTCTGGCACAATCTTTCTCCTTTATTTCCCTTCCTTTTTTTAATTTTATTATTTTATTTACACATTAGATTATTGAATGAAGATCCGCTTATAGAGTTTGCGCATCTTTCTCTTGAACTGTTATCTCCTTCTACAAAAGTAGATAGTCAGCTTCTGCTTTCTGTCTTGGTTGTCTGGAGTAATCTTTTATACTCTTAACATTCTTAACATTCACCTGAATGCCACACCGGCAAAATCGTTCGGCGCAGATCCCTATCACTAAAAAAGAGACCCATAAAGGTGTGGATGACTTCCTTGGAGGATTTTCTGTTATGGCCGAGAGAAACCAATCCTCCCACGAGCAGGGGGTGATTGCCGTGAATCTGAGGCTCATGAACAAAAACAGCGATATCACAAAGCAGAAGTCTCTCACCGAGTTGATTCTCCACGTCAAAGAGGCCCCAAGCGGCGTTCTCACTCAGTTTGTTACGGGAATCGCCGAGACGGTCATTCGGCATTCCCAAAATAGCAATCCCACCATCCGAGCTTTCCTTTTTACGCTTCTAAAAACGCTGATGGAGCGGGGAAAGGAGGTAAAGCTCGCCCTTGTCTCGACCTTGCCGGCGCTCTCGCCGGTGTGGATAATGTCAATGAATGAGCAGGAGCCGGCTGTGCGGATGGAAGCCCAGACAGCCTTTGAAGCGACGTTTAAAACGGAGAAGCAGCACCAGATGATGCTTCGGTATAAGGATGATATTCTTTCCGGAATTCTGGCAGTAATCAGCGATATCGTTGACAAGGATGGGACGCCGCTGCTTGATGACAGCCTTGATCGGCGCTCAAATTTGCTTTTTTCCGCTTTATCTGGGATGGGCTACATGGTGAAGCAAATTAACGCCTCTCAGGATGCTGTGATGTCGTTTGTTTTAGATAATTCGAGCTTTGAGCGTCTTTTGCCAACCAGGCCTCTCCCAAAGGGCTACATGCTCGCTAAAACCCCCTTCGTGCGCTCTTCGGTGCTCTCTTTACTACGCGACATGGTTTCGATCTGCCCGTGCACGAGCAAACTCCACAGGCTCGTCGCTCAGGCCATCCACGGCTCGATCCTGGAGAAGGACGCGACCATTGCCTCACGGGTTTGGGAGCTCTTGCTGTTTTGGTTCCGTATTAACGTCAGCGAGGTCTTTAAATATATTGAGCCTAAATTTCTTGATGACGTTATCGACAGCTTTATGTCCTGCGACCAGCAGAATCTCGCCGAGGTGATCTTTCCTTCATTGCTGCCGCTGTTAATTCAGCTGACAACGGAAAAATGCTGTGAGGAGATGCTGGATAAATTCGTCGGCGGGCTTCTGAAAAAGATGGGTCAACTAAAGGATTTACCAAATGCCAGCGCGAACGAACTCGAGCTGGTTTTCTCCGCCCTGACAGAGTGCTGGGTGCTTTATTGCATTCGGAAAAAAGGCGACACAGCCTGTGAAGACGCCACTGAGCTTTTTGACCGTATAATGGAATATGTCTCCGATATTCTACACAACGATTTTAAGCGCGCACGTTATTTGAAAGTTGTGGCACCATGTCTAGGCTTGAACCTGCTTAAGATTTCCCATATTGAGCGCATCTATAACGCATGCCTGAGGTCATTGTGTGAAATACCTGCTTACAACCCCTCGATTCATCCGGATACGACGCTGCCCGCTTCTGGGAGTGAGATTGTAATTGACCGCAATTGGCATCTACGCCCTGCGGTTTTGGAGTCGATGTATGCCAAGGCAAGGTCTGATCCAAAGTACGCCTGTCAGCAGAGTGTGTTGAGGGACCATTTAGATTTGAGTATTGCGCCGATGCTGCAGTCTCGCGCGAACCCCGCGTGGGTCCCCAAGCTGCTCTCGAAAATAAGCAAGAACGGCTATCAGCCTTCCCCTAAGGTTGCTGAGGGCGTGATTTGCCAGTTAAATAATTTAATGCGGACGCTGGAAGAGCGAGAGGCGTGCCGAACGGCTAACCTCGACGAGGCGGTCGCGGACGAGGGGATTATCGAGGATTGCCGAAGCTTGATGGAGACCGTCCTCCTTTGGGGTATCCCATCCATCACCGACTCCCTACTGGCGCAATCCAAGTATATCCACGTGGATGTGGTGCACCAAACCATCATGGAATACCATCTAAAGGACCCTGCTAAGGCGTTTGAGCTGCTACTTAAAGCGTGCCGGGAGAACGCGTTTGGGGATATGGGAAACTGCATCTCACGATTGAAGGTATCCGATACGGGGCTCACGCCCGAGCAGCGATCCACGCTTCTGGAGGCAGTGGTGGGTGCGCTGAAGGGAGCTCTACGACTTGTAAAAGGTCTTGAGGAAGGGGTCAACTTGGAGGATGATAACTGCAGCAAATCCGATCCCGAGCAAACAAAAGGGGCTCAATTTTCCGAAAAGCTGAACAGCAGGTATAAAAATTCAAATGAATACTTAAGCGTTTCCAACACATCTGAGGAGGGTGCCGACGATGATGATAAATCTTCAGAAAGAGGGTCACCTGTCGATGCGGGTTCAACCACAATAGTGCCTTCTGGGGAGGACATTATTTCGGTCGAGAACGACTTGGATGCGCAAAACAAAGCGAACGAGGTCCTTCACATCGCTTTTCTTTGGTGTGATCAGCTTTCTTCTGTTGGCGTCAACGATCAGCCGAAGGTGAACGAAACCATCGGAAGCCTCCTTCGCTTATCCTCGGACCTCTTTACAGAGCATCTTTCTGAGCTTTTTTATCGTATAGTAGCTGCCATTTCTCCACGGCTCTATCCAGAAGATTATATATCCATTAAAGCTCTCCGTATTGTATTACAAAACCCGCAAAACATCGATGACGATAGCGACACGCTCACCGATGCACTTGATGAAAAGATTCACTTCCTTAAAGTGAAGGACTTTAACCTTCTAGTAGTCCACGTAGCGGCGTTGCTGGAGGAGTTGAAGGTTCCCCAAACAGACCGCGATGACTTCGCGTGGAGGTTTTTCATAGCCGTTATGAAGTCCGAGGAGCCGGCATGCTACCATGCGGTTCATCAACTTCAGTTTTTAGTGCCCTTCGCCTCAGAGGCCCTCCTCCAGCGTCTGGTTCGTTTCCCCAATCTGTGGAAAATGCACTGCGTTTCATGGAAGGGCAGCAACGATAAAAAGCTGGCAAGCAGCTTTTGCTCCCTTTTTGGGGGCCACTTTTCATTAGCGGAGTTGGATCTCTCCCTCACAGCTATCGTTCGCACCGCACAATTATTGAAGTTAATGGATTACAGCAACTGCGTAAGTGAATGGAATAAAAGCGGCTCTGATGCCGACATGGAGATTAGAACGGAAATATTCTATCATTTGATTGTGGTTGCCAGCTTGACAGAGGTCTTTCCGTCCGGTATTCGATCAATCCTTTTTTCTCGATTGCTACCCAAGGCCCTTGGACACATCAATGCCCTCGCGGACTTGCTCATTGGTTGTTCGTTATCCACTATTACGAAAAAGGAAGTGTGTGAATCAATGGATCCTTTTGTATGCACTCTCGCTGCGGCTCTTCGCGATATCGCAAAGAACACAGATGATCACGACCACCTCACCTTCACTTTCCAAGCGCGACAGGTCATGAGTGCGATTACCGAGCGCGTTATAAGAAAGCTCTTCACCAAGGATGGTGCACGAGGAATCGATCGCGATTGTTGTATGTTCTACACCACTTTTTATGCGATTATGGACGAAACCGCGAATGTGATCGAGGGTAACATCTTCGCGCAGCTACCAAAAGATCTCGAGGAGCTTTTCTTAGAGGCAAGCTGCATGCTGCCGAGCTGGGATCTCGATACGGCGAAACTTTCTTTGGTAATTCATCGCCATCTCGCAACAATGCCGGTCGTCACGGTGAGCACGGTGAAAAGTATCCTGGACTATGCACAGCGGCAGAACCCACTTCATTGTCTGGAGCTTCTCGCGGAGCTCTCCTGCACGCGTATCATGGACCTGAACGTCTTTGGCGATCTCGTTCGCATCATCACGCACTCCCTCTGTCGGTGTTATACGCTACGCCACCTCCCAAGCAATGGGCGCCTTTTGTTTGAATCCCCCGAACGCCACGCCGAACCCTTGCCTTTTCATCATTTACAGCGAATAGCGGTGGCGGCGGTATTAGCGCGGCGCGGCGTGATTCTCCACAGTTATATGGACGACGTGCTGCGGAGTACGGTGAACTTGGTGGTCTTTGACTCCATCTGTGAGGCGATCTCGCGGTTTCGGACGACGAGCGGTGAGGAAATGCCCCTCCTCGCGAAGCTCATCGCCTTCACCTCGGAGTTTATGAGCGGACTTCATCATAGCGATACTTCTGTCCTGCGTGCGTCGGAGGCGAGCGTGACCGTTATCGCCTCCGCGCTTTCCTACGTATACCTCTGGCTGAACGCTATGCCGCTCGCAAAGATGGAGGGGATTGGCCATGGCGTCGTATCGGGGGTTCTCTGCACCATATGCCTCGTCGCCAACCTCACTCTAATCCGTGCGCATGCCCCTTTACATGAAACGATGCGATTGATTCTCAATAAGTGGTCTTTGAGGCCTCTTCGACAGGAGTTCTCATCCACATCTCCCTTTAAGTTTTCCCACTTTCGTCGCCAAAACACCCTCATCGGCAAAACCCACAAGCAAAAGGTACTGATGTTCCCCTACCTCCTGGCGTGGTGCGTCCTTCTGACGACACCCGCGACCGATGAGGAGGCTTCCTGCCAGTCAGACAGCCAAAGTTACCGACAGCGGAAGGCGGAAATATACCAGCTCCTCGATCTGCTTTGTGTGCTCCTCCTCACTCCTCTGTTCAGCAGTGCCAAGCGAGTGGAGGATACCCTTCTGGGCGCGGCCGCCTCCCTCATGAACGACGGCGATTCCACAAATGCGGAGGCCGGCGTGCTCGGCTTCGAGGTGGTGGCCCTGACGCGCGTGGTTTCGCCTCAGCCGATGATGCAGCTCGCGCGTGGAGCCGCCGCGGTTTTTTGCCTTCTCCTCCGAGGCTCTACCCTTTCCCTCGTGAAAGGATGGCTCGAGACGGTTGAGCGGAAGACGCAAATGATGATCTACAACTTCGTGCAGCTCTACATTTCACCACTACTCATCCATGAAAATTTGCTCACCGTGCTAAGCCACAGTCCGGATGGTTTAACCACGTTCAGCATCGGCGAAAGCTACTCCGTTTGTGTGAGGACGGCTCAAAAAAATATCGAGCTCAGCTACACCATCGAGGATGCACGGATATCGGTGCGCATTCGATTTTTGCCCTGTTATCCGCTACGACAGCCTGTTGTTGAATTTAGTAGTGGCCGAGAGTGTGGCATTTCGATGGAAAAGCAGCGAATGTGGATGCTAAAGATGACATCTTTGCTCTTCAGCGAGACGACAAACCTCTGGGATTGCATGGAGCTCTTCCGCGAGAATGTGGAGGCTCACCTCGGTGGGCAGGAGCCGTGCCCTATTTGCTATGCTATCGTGAGCGCCGTTAATCATAAATTGCCGGAGCTTCAGTGCTCGGTCTGTCGTAACCTGTCGTTTCACTCCAGCTGCCTCTACAAGTGGTGGGCGAGCGGTGGACAAACAGTTTGCCCTCTGTGCCGCTCGCCATGGATATCAGAATAGGTTTGCTTGGTACGAAACAAATCTACTTCCATTGTATTCCTACCTGTTTGCTATTCGAAATCCGTTCTCATAAAGCTCGAAAAATAAAAGGTCGGATAGGAAATGGTGTATTGTCGTTCTGTAATGGCCCCCATTACTCTGATCAATGCACTACGGTGCTCAGAGTTCACCTTTCTATCTTGATAAGTGTTTCCCTTTTACTTTTTCGCTTTATTAACCCAAAGTATTGTTGTGTATTTCTAATATTATTCAAATTAAAGCAAGTTTAACGCAAAGTTCATGAGATGCGATATAATAGTAAACACTGTGAGTGAGTGTGTGTATGTGTATGAGCCTATCTTGATCACAGCGGCATTATGGTTGTCTGAAGCACACACTAGTCGTATTTATTGTATTGCAACCTCACCTGTACTTTCGTCTAAATCCCAAACCTATGAACGAGTGTCTTTGTCGATGGATGGGGATGGCTACCCTTATGGAGTGCTTCTACTGATTTATCAATCTTAACCTCTTTCCCTGTTTAGTTAATCAATTCTTTCCTTTATTGCCAGTCCGCAGTTTCGCGAACCCCGAGCGCGCGCCAACGGCTTCTCCAACGACTAGCCACCCCCGTCTTTCCACGGGCCTTCTGTATTCTTTGTTATTCCCGCTCTCCTGACGATCGGATTTTCAGGGCACTCCCCGGCATGTCCACCCCGCGCGAGCCCGCGACCCGCCCCGGCTCCCGCCACCGCGGCACCCTC